TGTTCTTTCTTCTGTATTAAGAATATAGGCAATCACAACAGATAAAGAAGAACAAGCAATTCAGAGAGATGTGCCAGCCCAGTAAGGAATCTCCACCAAAGTCAAACAGGCACAGGAAAAAATAATCTCCAAGAACCATGAGGTTATGTGAAGTACTAAGAGGTTACATAAAGAACTTGTTACACTCTTACTAAACTGTCATAAAGCTGAATTGACAAAAAATGTTAAAAATTAAACGATACATTAGACATTAGTAAATCATTTAGTGGAAAGTCACCTGAAATATTCAACTACATTTGTTTAGATGGTAACATAAAACTGGGCCTAAAAACTAAAAATTCAGCCTTTTTTTATTTTACGGCTCAGAGTTTATACATCAGTCATCTGCTGCCTCAGCTATATCAACAGCAACATCTTTTTTTTTTGGTCTCACAACTTTCTCCATTTTGTTGAAATGGCCATCTTGAGTATTTTTTCTCTTTTCATTCTTTTCTTTCTCAGCTCCCTGGTTTCCCCTTATAAATAAAATTCAACACACCATTTTAGGGCACTACAAACCACTGCCCCTGAACCTCTTTCTTTACCGTTCCTTTCACTAGTCCTGATCCTTAAAAGAATATCAGGCTTGCTTGGACTATCTGAGTCTTCTTTCCCTATTGTAGTCTTTATTTTTTCACCTATGACATGAAGCATATTTGTGACAGCTTTATATTCACTTTTGCTGGATGTTTCCTGTAGAAAACTCACATGTGCTATTGCACAACCGTGTCCCTATGCCCTAATTATGCTGTTTCACACCTTTGAGATGTCTGTAGATTAATTCTTTCAGAGCAAAGAAAGCATTAATTGGCATCAGCAATTTCTGATGAGTAGTCTTATGTACATCCACAGTGTCATATACACCAGCCATGCACAAACCCCCAAGAACAAATGATTTGAGGGAACTGCCCTTTGGGAAATTTGCAGAGACTGTGTTAAATTGAAGTGATATTCAGTAATATTTTAAAACCACTAATCAGGTGATATAAAAAGTTGATATAGAAATTAAATTTGCAGAAGATGCTAAATTAGGAAGTGTTGCAAACATAAGTGAAGATGGAGAAATAACATAGAGGACCTGAAAAAGCTTAAAAATAAGAGCAGGAAATAACAAAATGAATTTCATCCAGGAAACATGCAAACGTACCATACATCTGGGGGAAATATTTCAAAATTAAATGCCAAAAGTAATCCGATCTTGTGGTTCAAGGTGTAAACTGATTGCCACGGCTGAAATAATCTTCTCAACCTTCCTGCTCAGCAACATATAACTGGCAAGGTACATTATGAAGGGTTTTGAAAGATCAGGCACAAGATATTTTTGGAGGCAGGATACCTGTCTCTTACAGAAAATCCTCTGCAACATCTAAATTCAGAGAAATAGCAGGTTCATTGAGAACATTAACACTCTTGGGCAAGCAAAATATTTGCTTACTTTCATGCCCAACAGTTACTTCCATGTCCTCATTTGTATTCTTACTAACAATTCAGCACAGACCCATACCACAGTGGCTGTGGCATTAACAGCACAAGCTGAAAAGAACAGGTAAGGGGGATGCCAGCCTAGTTAGAGGGTGAATTATCTGGGCTCTTAGTATTCCCAGCCTCTGAGAAACTGCCTCAGCTACTTTTCACTCTCAGTGGCCACAGGGGCTGCTATACCAGACAAGCAGTAATGTTGTCAGAAACAGAACCAGATACTCAGTTGATGTCAGTCAGGGCTTTTCTGCTAACTTCAAAGAGAATAGCAAATTTAATGTGAGTTTGCAGTGAAATAGGATATTGAAATTCTTCAGTAATGCTTACTTTTCCATCCTTGGGCTCACCACAATCAGGAACTAGAGAAGAGATGAGGCTTTGTACAGCATTGATAAAACTACAGCAAATATATGACTAGGCTTTGGTACTTGAATGCCACTAACTCATAGAGAAACTGGAAGGAGTTGAATGGAAATCAATAACAATGAAGGATCTCAAACAGATGGCCTTTGAAGAAAGTCACTATCTTCTTTTGTTACACATAAAATACAAGAAATGCCATTAAAATAAATAAATTCATGATAGCCCTATAGCAAATCAGTTGCTTTCCATCTCTGCTTCAGAGTGGAGATTCTACTTAGGAATTAACTTTCTATCTCAGCTCTAAAGAAACAGCATATATATCCTCACACATTCCCTGCCCTGTTCTTCCTAGATAAACAGTCTGTACAAGAATGCAATTGGAAACTAAGATGAGTCATTGGTTTCACCACTCATTCAGATCTGCTCATTGTCTAACCCCCCCACGCATTCACTTGATTCAATTTATTATGAAATTCCAGAGGTGTGAATGGCTGGACAATGCTTAAAGAGTCTTTGCAGCTGGATCACCTCTCGTCACTGGAGTGTAGTACAGTTACACATGGGCCAAGAACATGATTTCATACAAACTGAGATTGAATATCCTTCCATAAAGATTTGCTGTAGCATAAAGAACAAATCATACACTTTCACAAGAAGTTTCGAGTCAAGTTTACAGTTTGTGTCAAGCTGACAGCCTTTGCTTCTGTCTTATGAATGTGAAACCAGTCTCTTGAAGTGTGGCTATCCTTAAAAAGTCATACTGAAGCATACAAAATGTCCAGCTCCTAATCTCATAGAAATTACTTCTCTGAGGGCATTTATGATAGCAAATGGAAAGAAAAAAAAAAACAAAAGACAAAACAAATTCTCAGAATAATCTCATGATAACTTGGTCATCTTTTCACACTGGGATAGTTTGAAAGCTCCAAGGAGCATATGTTAATGCAACTAAAAACATTTAATGAAGAAACTGTTACCACACAGATACCAGAGAGATAAGGATGATCTTTAGTTAAGTACAATACTTGGATTTTATGTGGTCTGGGACCTGTCCCTCACTGTGCAACGTATTTCCTGTACAAACCTAAACAAATGGCTTTAGAAGTACCCTAATTCCAGGTCTGTAAAGTTTGAATGTTGTCAGCCACTTCTCTTCATGCTTCAAGCTACATACATCTGCAGTGCATTTCACAACAGGGAACAGATTTGGAACAAATGAAAGAAGGTATTTCCAAAGCAGACTATTATGGGCCACTGGCACCATCACATTTCATCAGGCATGTATGTCTAGAAAATCTTCTCCAGCCAGAAGAGGGAGATCTGTGGTTTGAGATCTCTAGACCAACAATTCATATGAATCACTTTGGGTGGGCTTACCTTGCACTTCATTATCAAAACCTATGCCAAGCTTATGGGTAGCACCATTATGCACAGTCTGATATCTCTGGCTCTCTGTGGCATGTAGGTTTTCCAGCTGTCATGAGTCTCTGCTCTCCACAAGCTTTTTATAAGAAGGCTGAGCATGAAGATGGAAATGCAGTCATGATATAATGGAGTGTGGTGCCTGATACTATCAGAGTTTTTAATATTAGTCTCATTGCTGCGGGGTTTGAACACTTCCAGCTGAAGTTGGGTGCTGCCATCATCCAACTGTCTGATAGAGAGACCTGCAGGCAAAGTTGTGGTTGTAAAACTTGAGATGAGCAGATCTTCTATCTGTATAATGAGCTAATTAAAAATTAATTTAAACATAGTCTGTGTAAAATGCTGAAGCATATGATGTGGGGTATAATCCTATGCTGGATTTGACAACTCACAGCTGCTACTGCATATTCAGTGTTTTTGAACAAAATGATATGTTCCTTCTGCCAGACTCCAATGAGAATTTTCTCTCACTGAGGACTTGAGAGTCTGACTCCAGGATGCAGATTGAATAGTTAGTCTATGTGATGATGTGCAGAGATAAGAGCTCAGATCTAGAGGCCATTTGACTGTGTTTGCACACATGCTGTTCCTTAGACTAAGCAGTGTTCTAGAAAACAAGCATGGATACATCCACTGTCCTTCCCACCATTCTTTGTTCCAGACTTTCTCATGCTGCACCAGCTTGTGTGTCTCGGCACTTTCAGTGTTGATGTATCCATAAATAGGATGAAAATATCTGTATTGGCAATAAGCACAAAAGGTTTTTTGCCTTCAAGGCATATAGACCCCTGGGAACTATGTGGAAAGCTGAAAGGCAAGCTCTGATTGCTTTTCTCTGCCAATGACTTTCATCTGGGACACAGATATATATGAGGCATCCAGAGCTGGGGAAACAGAAATCAGAGAGGTAAGACTGCACTTAGGAAGCTATGAAGAGAAAGAGTTCATACAATTCTTGCTCTCTTCTTGGACCGGGATCTACCAACAAGCCATAACTGTGTCCTGCCCCAAATGAAGTGCTAGTCACAGTACTGCAGAGACATTGGGACTCTTGAATGTGCCAAACTCTGCTCCTTGAAGCCAGGTCAAAACTGGGATAAAATAGTATGGTACTGCTTGCAAAACCAACTAGAGGAAGAGGCATTCTTTCCTTGTTTAGTAATGACATTTAAATAGCTTAGAATGCAATGGACTTAAAAGAAAATCCCTTTCAGTTTGAATGAGAGCAACAGGATGGTTGCTTTGGCTTGAAGACTGAAAACCATGTAAACTTGAGTCCAGTTACATGAAGCAAGATAGGAATAAAAGGATTGCTTCTGAAAATAATTACTTAGTGAGATAGTTTTTGAAATCTGAAAACAACTACTTCCACTGACGGTTCACTAAACATTGGTATGTTGGTAGTTTGCTTACCGTATTATTAAATAAAACATTTTCCTTCTTGCCCAAAAAGCATGCTAATTAATTGTAATGAGATATAGCCTAGAAACACAATTAGGTAAGAATTATGCATGGCCACACTTTTATGGTGTTACCAGGTACAAAATCACTATGACTCTTGATAGAAATAACCTCAAACAATTAGAGCAAAGCAGAACAGCAATTATGAATTAACTCCCTACTTACTAGAAAGAAAACCTTGCATATTCAGGAATCTTTCTTAAACAGTAAGAACACATTTGTTCTTTACTCACCACCTTTATTCTGTTAGTGTCCCCAAAGTAGGAGAGGTACAGACGCCCTAGGACTCTCTGAGTTGCAGTGGAGAAACCCGAGGATGGCAATCCTGAGATTAAGAAAGAGAACCATGAATAACAGGCAACTTACGCAAATAAAACAGAATATTTAATTTGAGCAAGGGCCTTCCATTATTCCCTTAAAAACTCAGTAGCAAAAAATCAGCATAGAATAAAACCATTAATTAGATTATTCTAGCCAGCTACTGTGTATTTCTTATTGAATTCTCATGAGAGTTCACAAAGACCTTGGTTGTTTCCCATAAAAGGGTGCATTTGTATGTTTCTGCAGTTGTACTGCCACCAAGCTACTTTTGTTTTGTTTTCAAACCAATATCAAAATATTTTTTTTATTTTTCCAGAGTACTTATGTACATATTCAAGAGGCAGACCATAATCAATTAGAACACTCTGTCCTAAAAGGACACTCTATAGAAAGGCCAGAGTTCATCAGGACAAGAGGTCTCTTGTAGGCTCGTCAAGACTTCTTATAGAGTAAAGAACAAATTTTCAAGAACTAAGTAACACTGAAAACTTTGGCTCTTTTGTTCTATGCCCATAGTGTATTTATGCTTGCTCTTCATGAAATGGAATGACATGTACGTGTATCTCTCTTATAAGAGAGATGCCCACAATACAAGAGCATGTGCAAAGCAGCATATATAAAAGATTGGATAAAACATTCCTTCCCAACCCTTCTTCACATACATATACCAAAGGTTTGGTAGCCCTGACTATGAGCTTAACATCTATCAAATGAGATCCAATTCATGTCCTCCCAGTTGCAGCTGGTCAAATTTTTAATGACTGCCTGTTACAAAAGGAAGAGAAGCAATGCATTAACTGTTGAGCATAGAAATGCATGGTAGAAAACAAAACTCCATCATGAGAAGTAATACTCTTATTTCCTGTGCCTCACACTTCACAGCTCTTTTGCATGTTTCCCTTACCACACTTATTGATTGGTAATTTGTATCACCCATTCTTTAGTCATTTACCATGAATATAAAATTTAAAGGATGAAAAAATGCACACCATGCCTATTCCCTCCTGTCAATTTTATAGAGATATTTTCGTAAAAAAACCAGACTGAATACCTGAATCCTCTAAGTGATTTTTTTATGCACTGCTGATTAAGGATGTATTGGGGTTGCATGGCAAGGTTTTTACAGTGGGGGAGGTTACAGGGGTGGCTTCTGTGAGAAGTGCCAGAAGCTTTCCCTGTGTATAACAGAGCCAATGCCAGCTGGCTCCAGCTGCCCACTAGCAGCAATGCCAGTGGCCTCTGGGACAGCACAATTAAGAAGGGGAAAAACACCCCTGTGCAGCAGCAGCTGGGAGGGGAGTCAGCCAGGGTCACCCCTCCCAAAACAAAGTCCCCGGGAGCTGTCAGGAGTTCTCTTGCAGCCCAAGCTGTTCAACCTGGAGGCTCTCCACAACAGTTTGCCACAAGGAACATGCAGAGCAAGGTTCCCATGGCAGTTAACTCACACTCAAAGAACAATTTTGAAAATCCACAGTTTAATTGCCACAAATAGAGTTTTCTCCAATCGTCTCTTTTTTTTTTTCTTCTTTTTTTTTGTGATTACCCTGAAAGGAAACAGTAACATTATCTTACAGCAGATTTCTTTTTAGGCTGTGGTTAGGTGCTTGGAGAACAGTTGAATCTTGTGCAAGGTCCATGCAGCAAGGATGAGAGTTTTCAGATATAATGTGATCAAAGATTTTTGATTGCTGTATCTTTCTCAGGCTCCCCTGACAGCCTATTTTCAAATTAAACTCTTCCTTAGAAATACTCTTTCAGCTTAGCTTTTCAGAAAATCCCTGTATGTGACAAATCCAAAGCATACAACTGCCAAGAATAGTCTTTCAGTATCCATTTACAGCAGTGCCATTCTGGTTTATCAGGAAAGTAAAATATACAAGTATTTACAGGAAAGACTACACTCGTTTTAATGGGTTTGGTCTTTTTATCCTGCACATTTCTAAACACATTAAGCATGTCTATGTGTTTCTTTTTTTCTTTTCATTTGCTGAAGGAATCATCTAACAAACTGGGGTCTAAATAGAAAGAGCAGCAATGCAGCTACAGTAAGGGTGTGATTTCATGGTCAGTTTCATCTAGTTGAACTCTGAAATACTACTGCAAGGGACAAATGTTCCGTTTCTCCCATCTCACCTGTCTGTCCTCCATGCTTTGTGTCAGCACATGGAGATGCATCCTCAGCAGTCAGCCAGATCCGATCCTCGTGCAGCTGTACAGCTGGATGAGTGCTGCTGCTGACACAACACAGGACCAGGGACAGACACCCTTTCACCACCTTTTTGGTGTTTAGAAATAGATTAGCCATGGTTGATATAAAACTACACCCAGGTATCACCCCTTTTTAGTGAAGAAAGGAAACAGCAGATTCCCTTGATATTTGCTGCACAACAACAAATCAAATTATTGATAAATAGTAAGCATTTGGCATACCTACCTTTATGATATGATGGTCATTTGGTAATACAAATGGAAAGAGATACATCCAACAAATGTTTGTTTCAAGAGATTGGACAAGAAATGTAAATTAAACCAAATGAAACAAAATTGTAAGAGAAGTGTTGTGGACAGGGAAGTGTGAGGCTTGAACATTCATTTTTCATTACTTTCGCCTTCGTCTCAGAAATACTACTTCCAAAACTATACAGAATATTGGTGTCATGCTAATTATCACTACATGAAAAGGTGGCTTAGGAGAAAGAGCTAAACTAAGTGGTGGAATGGAAAGGCGATTTGCTAGTAGCTTCAGCAGAATCTGGAGGAAGCCTTTAACATTTTTTATCCATTCCTACACTGTCTGCTAAACACACAAAAAGACGGCAGAAAAACTTCTAGTTCTGTAAAAAGACAAGTTTCGTTTGGGGACTACAGAATGAGTAGTGCAAAGTTAAATTATTTTTTTAGAAACAGATATTCTTACTGTTGAGAAAAAAAAAGGCCACTTCATATCAGAAGAATTAAATAGTAGGAGAAAAAGAGGCAGTTTCCCCTACAGCAGTTAGCACTAGCCATTTTCAGTGCCAAGATCCCAGATTAGATAGACCAGCATTCTGATCCTGAACGACTTCTATCCAACTCACTGCCCTTCACCTCAGCACCAGTGGCACAGTGCCTCAAGCCTTGACTCTGCAAGACAGCAAGATACAGACACCAGGGCTCTGTTCTGCAGTAGGATATACAAGAGCAGTTCCCACAGCCATCACACGGAGCTATGTGGATACCTATTGCCAGGAAGGGTGGGGTGAGAGCACTTGGAAAGCCACTACTGAAAGTTCAAGTCAACAGGTTTGGAAACTTGGCAAAGACAACATAGACAAATAATTCAAAGTTTGCAGGGCACCTCTGTGACTGGTATAAATCAGATGAGTACTACTGAGTTCAAGGGAACCTGCCAATGCATGACAGATGAGCACCCACTCCTTTGCAAATGCTCCTCTGAGTCCTGGTATCTGAACTGCTTGGCTCTCATCCAGTTTTCTTCCTCCAGGCCAAAATGAGAACCACGCAAAACGTTCTGCCTTCCTCAATGCAGTGAAAAACGAAATCACATTTGATCATGAAAGTTGATCCTCCATTTCTTACATCAGCAAAGATACAGAGGAGATGTAAAAAAGATTAAGGAACTTCCTCTCCTTCTTTCAAAATCCCCACCCTGTAAGTGCTTTCCTGCTGCTGACAGAAAGGAAAGTCAGGCCTGGATGAATCCAGCAGAGACACTGGAGCAGTGCTGGGCCCCTCCCAATGCCACACCATGGTTCAAAGCCTTGAAAGGTGGCAAATCTCCCACTGTGCTGCAGTTCAGCTCACACCTGAAGACCAACATTGCAGCAGTGTATTCTCTTTGCAGCAGTGTCTCCTCTGTGATAGTAGGTCCTTATCCTCTCTGCCTTCTACCAGTACAGTCATATGCTGCTCTCATGGTGCACAAATGCTGAGCAGCATCTCTGCTCGTCCTACCTCCAGCCGCAGGTCAGTGCCAGCCAAAGCTCTTTATTTGCTGAGTGTATTTGTTCTGATTTAGGGCAAATTTGGGAAGAAACTTCCAAAGGAGTCCCTCTAGAAAGCAGATTCAAATGGTCCCTTCCCCAGCTGGTTCGGGAAAAGATTTCCTTGGAAAAAAATTAATAATGTTAAACAATAAAACCTCTCACTTCACTGGGCATTTAGAGAGGACATCTGGCAACCCTTTTCACTGGCCAACAGGATTTGGAGATGCCTCCAAATTCATACAATTCATACTGCTTAGTCTCGGACCTTGCAGTTTTCAGGCTTACTGATGAAAATAAGTATGAAATAAAGATGTAGAAATACAAATGAAACAAATAAGTCAAAATAAAATAAAAACTTTTCAAAAGTTAAAAGGATTTTATTTGAAGTTCATTTCTTAGCACAGTAAGGACTCAGCTACTTGGGCTATTGATTTAGCCAATATTTTGACTACAGTAAAAGATGGCTCCTAGTTGCAAGACCTGGCTCTATTAATAACAACTTCCAAAACAACTGAAATTGTCAAGCATCTGGTTCAACCTCTTACAGAAAGTCAGGCAGGGCCTGAACTTGAAAGAGATTTGAATTTTACTGCATTTCAGGGCTGATGATGAGAGGGTTGAAATATCAAGTTCCTCTAGTGTATCTTCAGCAAAACAAACACCGTTCTCTAACCCCACCATTTTCCCAAGATGCTGCTGTGGTGTGGGCTGAAGGGTTGGGAGAGAAGAGTGGAAGAGGAGAAAGAAGTTCCTCATTCCTCCCTATTGCCCTTCCTGTTTTCATGTCTGTTTATGCAGAGGATTGTCTTTCCACAAGCAAACAACTAGAGACAAGCTCACTCCAAATGTATGTTCTCTCATGTTTCAAGCACTTGCTCTGTTCTTGCTGAATGTTTAGTTACACCATGAAAAATGGATATGTGGAATGAAGACATTTCCCCTTTGACTTGCACATTTGCTGAAGGTATGTCAAGGATCTGAGGCAAGGGGTATGGGCAAGCTTTCAAGAGTTTCCCTCCCCCC